TAGTTAGGTGCTGGTTGTTTGCCTTCGTCCTGGGAATCCAGAGTTACCCTTAGCAACTGAACTCCTCTAAATCTCCTGCTCTGGGTTTGTTTAATCAAATTCCTCTGATATGATGGAAGGTATACAGGACATAGATTGAAAAACCGTGTGTATAATACTCAAAATAAATGAGAACATTTAAGGTTCAGAAAGAAATTTAATGTGTATGGAATTTTTTTTTTTTTTTTTTTTTTTCCGAGACAGGGATTCTCTGTATCCTTGGAGCCTGTCTTGGAACTTGCTCTTGTAGATTAGGCAGGCCTTGAACTCACAGAGATCCACCTGCCTCTGCCTCCCAAGTGCTGGGTTTAAAGACTTGTACCACCACCACCTGGCTTGTGTTGGCTCTTAAGGGGAATGTAAGCAAGGCAAGTAGGGAGGCAAGCATCTTGTCTACAAAGTTTAAAACTGTACATTCAGACTTAACAAAGGTGAGGTGTGAGGTTACTTCTTGCCTATGCTTTCATTCAGCTAACTTCCTTAGGTTAGAGTTTACCTTCTAGTACCTTCTGTAGAGCTGGATTTATGGATAGGTAATGTGTAAATTTGGCTTTGTCGTGGAATATATTTTTTCCTCCATATATGGTGATTGAAGTTTTGCTAGGTATAGTAGTCTGGGCTTGAATCCATGATCTCTTAGAGTCTGTAGCATACCTGACCAGGACCTTCTGGCTTTCAGAGTTTTCATTGAGAAGTCGGGTATAATTCTGATGGGTCTGCCTTTAAACGTAGCTTGGCCTTTTTCCTTTGCAGCTCTTAATATTCTTTCTTTAGACTGTATGTTTAGTGTTTTGATTATTATATAGCCAGGGAACTTTCTTCTCTGGTTCAGTCTGTTTAGTATTCTGTAAGTTTCTTGTACCTTCACAGGCACATCCTTCTTTGGTTTGGGAAAGTTTTCTTCTATGATTTTGTAGAATATATTTTCTTTAGTTGAATATCTCCTTCTATCGTTATTATTCTTAGGTTTGGTCTTTTCATGGTGTCCATGATTTCCTGGATGTTCTGTGTTAAGGATTTGTTGGATTTAACATTTTTTGATAAATTAATCTAATTTCTCTATCGTATCTTCAACTCCTGAGATTTTCTCTTCCATTTCTTGTATTCTGTTGGTTATGTTCACATCTGTAGTTCCTGTTCATTTGCCCAGATTTTCCATTTGCAGAATTCCCTCAGTTTGTGTTTTCTTTATTGCCTCTGTTTCAGCTTTCAAGTCTTGCACTGTTTGAGTTGTTTGCTTCACTGTTTTATTGGTTTTTCTTGGGTTTCTTAAAGAGATTTATTTATTTCTTCCAGTTTTTGTTTATCTTTTCCTCCATTTCTTTAAGGGCATCATTAATTTCCTCCTTATGGGTCTCTATCAGATTCATAAAGTTCTATTGAAGATCTTTTTTCTCTGCTTCTTCTGAGTTAGAATGTCCAGGTCTTCCTGTTGTAGGACTACTAGCTTCTAGTAGTGCCATATTGGTCTTCCTGTAGTTGGATATGTTCTTACATTGCTGTCTGTCCATCTGTTCCTCCAGCGGGTGCAGGTGAGGCTTGTGCTTCTGGGGTCCTTCTTCCTCCAATTGGTGAAGGTAAACCCCGTGGCTTAGATGGTAGCTCTTGGACTTCAGCCTCTACCACTAAGTGAAACTCTCTGCAATCTACTCTTCTTCCTGTAGGGTATACCACTGAAAACCCTTGTCCCTATAATCAGTGGATTTCTGGTTTGTTAAAAACCCTTGATGACAATGCTTACAGCCCACTTCCTTTAGGAAGTTCAAGCGTGTGTATGACATTCCCAGGAGGAAGCTGCTGTTAACAGACTCATGAGCACATAACAATTCTGTGTTATGACTTCTTTCATAATCCGCTCATGATGGTCACTGTCCTGTAAATTTACAAAGAAACCCTGTAGTAAAATGTACCTGTGACATTCTCCTACCTTCCAATAACTATTGATCGGTAAACAAGATCAAAGGTGAAAGGTATGAAAATTTGTATTTGGAAGACTTCCTTAAGCAGCAACTTCATAAGTGGTTGCTTTTGACCCACAGGCAATGCTACAGTCCTTCATAGCAGGGACGTCAGAGCTTGAATTTGAACAGCTGGTATCATCACATCAGAGTCAGGAACAGAGAGAGGCCAACGTGAACACATCTATGTCCATGCTCTTGCTTGCTCTTCTGCAGCTCAGTTTCTCTATTTTGACAGTTCTTATTTAGGACACAGTGCTATCTGTCAGTGCCATTACACCTGCATGTTTCACCCTCTCACTTGCTTGGTGTCATCTCTGACCAAGTAACTTGGGGATTTGGGTTAATGAACCTATTTTTTGAGCTGTCCAGTTTTACTTTGTGAAATAACAATAAGCTCATATGAGGAAAGGTCTTAAGACTTAGGCATCTCTGAGTCAACATAAGAGGAGTCTGACATATTAGCTCTAAGATCCATTTTAAAAATCAATTTCCTCCCTCTCCATCTCCTTTTCCATTTCCCTCTCCCTCTCTTTCTCTCTCTCCCTCTCCTTCTCAGAACTTTTATGAATTCACATACTCTGGATTATTTTCCTGACTCAAATAAACAACTGGACTTTAGATTTCCCAATCGACCTGTCAGCCTTAAAGAATAAAAACCCAGCTAAAACATCTAGGTGTGTGAACCTCTGTGCATCTTAGAATCTTTGCCTGTAAAGCAGTAGTGATGTCATATAACTCACAATATTATTGTGAAAAGTTAATCAGAAATAGCATCATATCATAGTAAAACAGCTAGCATGTTAGTTCTGAAATTAAATTCTCTGATTTTTTTCTCCTCTTCCTTTTGTTTCTTTGCTTCTTTCTTCTTTTCTCTAAAATCAACTTCCTGCTAAGATTTAAATGTGAATATTCCAAAAGACTGTGTGTATATCTAGCATAGTTCATTATACATTACTCGATATTATTAAATTATAGTTAATTTTAGCATAAATAGTGGCAAAAATATTTTACAAAGATTATGGCATAATTACCAATCTATCAGAATAGATACTAAGGTAAGCAATAAATACACTTAATGAAGTACCTAAAACCATAGGATTTGTTTCATGAAGTCTTAAGTGTTTAACTTTTTTCTCTGACCTATAAAAAGACCAATAATTATCTATAATTTATTCCTACAGTCGTATCAGATGTTCATAGCAGTTGTACATTCTGACGGGAATGACTGGAATTATTAAACCTTTTTTTATTTAAATATAATTTTCTATTGAAAAAGCTCTCGCCAGTCTTTCCCTTCTCCCTTTCCTCTCCCTGTCTCCCCTTCCCCCCAACCTCACCCTCACCCCTACCTCCACGAGGAGCAGTAATTAGCACTGACTAAGGATGGACCCCTAGGGGAAAGTGGGGTCTTTATTGATCAGCTGGGTGCTAGTTCACAGGACCCCACTGTCCAACAAATAAGCATAGTTTCCATTTTTGATCACCATATCTAATCCTAATCTCACAAATCGAGTTCATTGAAGAATTTGGCTCAACATCTTTGTCCACTCAACCACAAATGGCAAGTTCTCTCGGTTACCAGCTCTGTGTAACTGTGTTGCGGCTTTCATCAGAGTGGAAGATTCCGAAATGCAGGGCAAGATGAGGTCTACCTTCCAGCCTGTACTCAGTTATAAATATGAGAGGTGTGTTCTGCTACAGTGTCACCTAACGTTTAAGAAGCTACAACACAGGATGCATTATTAGAATTACTTTATCTCTATATTCTTATTATCAATAAAGTCTCAGAAAAACTATCCTTGCTGGAAAGCAAAACCGTGCTCTCCTGCTCAGCGGCAATGAGCATAACAAAGAAAGCAAAATGTAATGCCTTAGCCATAAAGTGAATGTTTGTGTGAAAAAATCCTAACACATACAATACCTTTAAAATACTTAATCTTATCAACATTTAACATTTATTATATTCCAGACCCTGTTATGAGTTGGGTTATTGTAGGTTAAAGAACAGAATAGTTTTATCATCAGGGAGTTTACAGGTATGTTGAATAAAAATATTAAAGAAATGAGCAAATAAAGCAAATATCTTACATCATGTATCAATTAATATTTACTATGCCTACTCATCAACAGTGTACCTACAATGGACTATAAACTCCCTTAAGGACTTTAAATAAATGTGTTTCTTAAACCATTTTCTAAATTTGAAGAGTTTATTTTCCTTGCTAGTTGTTCCAAAATGTTTTCAGCATTCTTGCATTTCTGTAACAGTATATTTAACAAATGTCAATAGGTCTCATTTCTGCATTTATAACAAAACCTAAATTGTAACAAAAGAAACCAAAATATTTTAATGCCTTTGAGTTTTCATGTGTCATTCGATCTTCGTGAATTTCGTGTTTATATAAACACAAGTTCCAATAGCAAGTCACAGAGTCTAAACAAATAATCATTAATGTTTCATCAGACGATTTCCTCCCAGCATGGTCTGAACAGCAGCCTTCACATCCTTGTTCCTCAGACTGTAGATGAGAGGATTGAGCATGGGGGTCACTACTCCATAGAAAAGGGAGATAAGCGCCTCGGTCACACTTTGATGTCCTGTCCCAGCAGTGACTTTAGACTTGGGCTTTGCATACATGAAGAAAATGGTTCCATAGAATATAATCACCACTGTCAGATGGGCAGAGCACGTGGAGAAGGCCTTCTGTTTTCCTTCAGAGGAAGGGATCCTCAGGATGGTGGCAATGATGAAAACGTAAGAGATAGCAATGACTATCAATGGAACAGCTAGAAAAAGCAGGTTTGACGCTGCCATGCTAATCATATTGATTGAAATATCTCCACAAGCCAGTTTCACAACAGCCACAAATTCACAGGCAAATTGTTGAATGGTGTTATCAGTACAGAATGGTAAATGCACTGCCAGAGATGTCTGCACCAACGAGTCAACAGTCCCAGAAACCCAACATCCAACCGCCATGGGCACATAGGTACCCTTGCTCATGATGACAGGGTATCTCAGTGGATAGCAGATGGCCAGAAAGCGGTCAAGTGCCATCGTGCCTAGGAGCACACATTCTGTGGCACCCATGGCAAAGGAGAAGAACATTTGGACCATGCACTCAGGGAAGGAAACTCGCTTCCTTCCTTTCAGAAAGCTACCAAGAATGAGTGGGACAGAAGAGCTTGTGTAGCAGATGTCCAGGAAGGAAAGGTTGCAGAGGAAGAAGTACATGGGGGTGTGCAGGTGCATGTTGTAGATGACTACTGAGATGAGGACTCCATTCCCAAGCAGGATCAGCAGATACATGCACAAAACCAGCACAAATAAAACTTTCTGGAGCTTTGGGTGGTCAGAGAGCCCCACCAAGACAAATTCTGTCAACATGGAACCATTGGCTCTCTCCATATGAATATGTCTGTCCTCCAGCAGAACTCTGGGTATGATAGAAAGAAATCTATTAATGAATTTATAAGAGCCACTTCATAAAATAACAATATTTTTTGTTGCTGATGGCTGTATTTTAATATAGAGTATGGGGGATACTTTTTCTATGTGATTAATAATTAAGAATTTTTCATTTTAAAAGATTTTTAATTGAAACAGAATTACATTGTTCCCTAATACCTTTACTTTCTCCAGCCCTTCCCATCTACCCTTTTTTTAGCTTTTTTCATACCTCCTCACTCTCAAGTTAGTCACCTGTTTTTCTTAGATTATATGTGATATATCTGTGCATGTGTATCCACAAATATATGTCAATATAATCTGCTGAGTTCATTTTGTTATTAGTATGATAAACTTTCTAATCATGAATCAAGGCCTAGCATAAGGAATGCCTACCTGAATTTTCTCTATTAAGACAGTGAATCTTTAGATCCTCAACAGTTATATGGCTGTGTCTGCAAGTTCTGATTTAATAGGTTGGAAATGAGTGTCTAATCACATTGATGTGGTACACAAATGTTGGAAATTAGTTGCCTATAATGCAATGTTTTGTCTCTGTTTGTTGTAGTTAGTAGTGGATATGAACCAAACAAACTAGTGGGTTTCACCGTCACCTTTTCTTTCTTTTCATTATTACTGTCCAGGTTTTTCATTTTATTGGTTTGTCTATCGCCAGAGATGGAAACCAGGAAGCAGCTTTACTAACTTACTAAATGTTCAGGGTCAACATCTTACGGAAATACTGATGTACAGAATCTGACAAGTGTTCACCAAGTGTTCCAAGTTGATCATTTCAACAGATTTATCAAATAAACACAAGTCGAGATCGACAGTTTACTTGAAAGACTTTTCTGCATTTCAGTTGGGTGTGGGGGAGGGATGCAGTGAGATGGGCAAATGGTGCCTGCCAACAAGTCTGAGGACCTGGTTTCCACAGCTAGGACCCACAGGATAGAAGTAGGGGACTAGTTCCGGAAAGTGGTCTTCTGATCTCTACAAGGACACTTGACACGCAGGTGTCTGTGTGTGCACACACTTAAAGAACAACAGAAACTGGGTAGGATCTAGTTCGCAGACTTGGGAGCCTCTCCTAGCTAATGTTTTTGGGAAATCTGGCTTGAAGGAACTGATCTGATCATGACGTTACCTCTAGCCCATGAGGTTAGTGACAGCTCAGATGTTCATGATCTCTGTAACAGCTCTGTCACATGGATCTGCACCGGCAAATTGGTTCAGAAATTGGAAGCAAATGAAGCTAACATCTACAGCAACATGAACAGATTACCAAAACACTGTCAAAATGATTTATGATTTATATAACATATTAAAACATAGGAATTAAAGTAGGATTTCACCAGGATCCATGTACTTTTAGAGATAAATTTAAAGAGATTGTACGTTTAAAGAGAAAATATTAATGGAATGAGAGAATGTACCTATGAAATAGAGACTTTTAAATGAATATGGGAAATCCTTCACAGCGTATAAATAAAAGACAGAGAACAATTGATAAGAGCACAGATCAAAAAGGCACAGCAGATAAGAGCACATGCAAAAAGTAAAGGAGACATATAAGACATCATGTTAAAGAGCACTGATAAAAATGTAGTTTTAGTGGAAGAGACCATTGTAAATATAAAATGGGGAAAGCAACCACTACACTTATTTATTAAAAACAATAAATAATGGATTGAAATACAAAGAAAAGCATGACAAGCAAAAAATTAAATCAAAAGTTGTCTAGAAAACAGGTTTTTAAAAATACAATTTGGAATCTAGCTAAAGAAAAATTCATAGAGCGGAGGATTGCTCAGTAATAAGGGAGAATGAAAAGCAGCTCCCAGGATGAGTGGGAGGCAGCGTTTGCCCAAGAGCCTGTGGTCTAATCTGAGATAGAAGAACATGGCTGTCTTAGTCTTGGAGTCACTGGGCTTCACTTAGTCAGGAGAAACTTTCTTCTTTTCACTTTCCGCCCCTGCTGGTGATAAGCTGCCATGTTCATAGGGTATACAAAGACAGACCCTGAAGAAGAATGAAGGGGTTGCTCCACACTGACTTTTCTAATTTTATATGGAGTGTGGCACCCTGTTTTATAGCAACACTTGTGAGCCATTTTGAAATTTTCTCTTTGGATTGTCAGTAAGCTCCGCCAAGAAATTACAATTGGGCTGGGCTCTTCTTTCTTTAAACAATCCATTTGAGTGTGTTAAGAGTTGGAGCACAATATGGGTGTTGGAAAAAAAAAAAGACCACAGCAATGTTCTATGGTAGAGAATGTTTGTAGGAAACCATTTATTTTCCCCCAGAAAGTCTCTGCTCAATGAGTAAGCACAGACAGACTTCAAAGTGTGGGAAGAAGCTATATAAGGACCTGTGACAGGATCTCATCACATGGTCCACAGGAGCTGAGAAGCACAGTCTTGGGCAATTGACTGAGGCCATGGTGTCCTTAGGGCACACAGAGACTTTACAATATAGCAAAGAACAGCATTCTTGTGGGTAAGGAAAGGAATGCTGACTTGCACATTTGTGAGGTATATTGAAGGTAATTTTAAGAAATTATAATTTGTTCTTAAAGCAATTGGGAGCCACTGAAGTTTGACCAGGGGACATTAAGTATGAAAGCACTAGGAATAGATTCATTGGGACCTTCTAAAGAGCTGTCCCTGTCGCATCAGCACTCGACTGTCAGCATGCACTCTGCGCTCACTCTTCAGGGCAATCATTTCTTCTTCTTTGGTGCATAGAGAACAGGACTCAAATCCATCTTCTCTAGATAATAGAGACACAGTTCATTTTAGGTCAGCTTGATACCAGAAAATTTGAGTTTCCTAGAGAAAGACACAATCTGTCTGTCACCTATGACTTCTCAGTTCAATTCTATAAATGCGGACCAAGTGTATCTACCTCATTTCAGCTTGGAAATCAGGCTAAAGCTTTGCTGGGTTCATCACAACTAGGTCTTGGCTGATACTGAGTTATTAATCCACTAATGCCATTCATAACAAAACCCGTCTCATTCTCCCTGGGTTTTCTGGTCTCCTTCACTTGTGAGTGTACAAGTCACATCTCCAGAAACCAGAAAGGGGGAAAAAAACCTATAGGTTAAGTTTAGGGACTGAGGCCCTGGGCATCATTTGAACCTAAGTCTTTTGTTATCTATAGTTATTCTATTCATTTTTTTCCCTGTTAGAAGAAAGGCTCTCCCTGTCTTCTTGCCCAGTTCTAGCTCTATTATTTCATGAGAAGGAGCAAGTCCATCAAGGCACTTCTCAGTGGGGAGAAAAATGTCCTTGGTTTTCATAGAGGGCACAAGTGTCTTCAGGACATCATCAGTTATCACATCTGTGATATCTGTTATCACAGTGTGTGTAAAAAGACCGTGACCACTGCTGGGTGGCAGGATTCTGAATTTCTAGTTTCCTTCAGCTTTGTGTGCTCACATATGGCACTAACAGAGGCTCATTAGCTTAGCTAAGTTCTGATGTGATCACTTATACTGAATTTATGGTAGAGTGTAGGAATTTAAAACACATTTGATACTTCCTTGGGTCATAATTAGTTTCAGCTAAGAGTCTCAGACCCAAAGTAATGTTCCTTTGCAAATAATAAACAAGAATAAAGAGGCTTTAATTACAGTAATTCTGGCTTAGGGAAAGCCAGAAAGTATTTTTAGAAGAGGTAGTTTATGTTTATTCCTATATTCAGAGGATTGTATATAATATGAATCAATTGACATTCAGATATATGAATCATATTTTGTCATAATTTGAAACAAGTAGTCATTGTGATATACATCAATGATATATCTCATCTACTTAAATTATTTTTCAGGCATTGTGGTCAGAGACTTATTCAAATTGTTGTATTGGAGTTTCATAAATTTGGAATAAAAATTTTCAGCAGATTATGCATGTACTAATAGTGTTCATGTTATTTGGCTACTGAAGAAAAGGGAATTATCACCTGTTTCACAGTGTTTCTATGTTCTAGCCAAAGGGAATAAAGAAAAATCAGTGCTTTCATGTAGGCAAAATTCATGCTGGAAAAGAAATTAAACTTGAATTTAGAACAAACAAAGACCTTCTTTGTCTGTCCTCTTCTTTAAATGACATTAATTCTTACCAAAGAGATTTCCTGTGGATGATACCCAGTGTTCCAAAACTCAAATTTCTGTGATACCAAATTAAGGAAGCTCCATATGTGAAAGAAAAAATAGATGTCTCCACTTAAAGCATCTATGTTGATAGCTTATCCACAACTTCAAACTCATAATTACAAAACAAAGACAGAATGTGATGCGATCCTGAGCCTGAAGAGTAGTTTGCTTTCCTGCTTAGAATTAGGTCAGGCCCTTAATGGCTACTGTGCATCACGTTCTAAAAGCATCCTTCTTCATTCTTGGCACTGTTGAGATGCAGGGACAAAGGTGAGAACCAGACAGCATGAGGTTCTCCTATTATTTTCTTCAGGTTTCTACTCACCTGTAGTCTATTATCAGGTAAAACTAACAGATGATGGTGCAAAGATTCTGGCTGAATCTTAGAAAACAATATAAAATGGGCCAGAGTTTCTTGCGGGTCTTTGTTATGCTCTAAATGTTTGTTTACATTTTAAACTTCTGAAACATCTTCCAAAGGGCCAGACATTAGCGTGTAGAGACCATTGAAATCATTATTTGGGTGAGCTAGAGAGTTAAAAACATAAACATGAAGAGCTAAAAAACATTCCAAAACTCCAGGGAGAATGTTGCCAGACTCAATTATCTCTTGCAATTAGTATATTCTTGTGATTGGTATTCAAACGCAGAGATTCTGTCATTCATAACGCCACAGTATTGGAAGATTTTAAGGCTCATAGACCATAAGCTCATGTATTCTTCTAAATATATCTTTAAAAAAATCACATAACATTAATAGAATAGCTCTACTCATTTACATAGTCAAACATTTACCAGTGTTCTCAGAACAGTCTGGTGAGTTACAGAATCTTTTCTGAGATGCTGAATTTGGACTGTCTTGCTGATGGCTGTGTAGCATGTACAAGAAAAGAAGAGTTTTAGATTCAGCTGCTGTCCACACGTAATTGTGAGCTTCACTGTTTCATCTCTCACTGAGAATCAGACTACAATGCAAAGCCTGCCTCATCCACTGCAGACAGAACTCCCCAAGCCCACTTTAAAAAACATGAAAAGCAGGAATGACCCCTTCTGAAGGGACGATTGATATTTATATTTGGAAAGAGTTTCACAGGGCCATGTTCCACAACTCATCCTCTAGAACCCATCAATGCAATCAACAAAAGTTGGGCTTAAAAAAGAGAAAAAAATAGATGTTCCAATAAGCATTTCAAATTCTCAATATTTTATAGAAAGATCCCAATAATCTATGTTATTCCAATCTGCCCTTTTCTTCACCTGTGTTAAATTTGACCACCGAATGAGTGTGAGAGCTACCTCATCAACTTCCTGCTACCTCACCAATTATTATCACCAAATTCAATCAACAGGGGATCCCAATTTTCAAAAGACCTGCTTCTTTGTGTATCAGCTCATATAAGATGACTTTATATTGTGACACAGAGCTAATTCAATTTACTTGAATTCCTTAGCTGGATAATAAACATTAAAATTAATATAGCATTTTTGCTATTAGCTTTTATTGATGGTTGTGGGATTTGTTTGGATTGTCAGACATGCAAATTCAAAAAGGGTCTCTCTGAGTCATGAGATATTCTTTTCTATCTGGATCTAAGTTTTGATTCGTTGTAATCTTCTTGCCAGTGGTGAGTGTCCCTGGATCCTTTTAAAGAGAACTCTGCTATGGGCTTGTGTTGATGCAAACATAGGGAATTAGTGCATGGTCCATAACTGTTTTTAGTCTCAACTGTTTGTTCTGTTGACAAGAATAATCCTTACCTAACATTTTCAATTTCTGAGGGAAACAATGGGGTACATAATGTTTCATTGGTTGTGTGCCTTCTCATCCTCTCACGTCTTGGCCCAGGCTTCTCACCGACTTTCAGAGAATGAATAATGAATCCCTCTGTTAATCCCTAACCTTTTCTAAATTCAGAATGTGATTTTATCATGAACAGAGTCTTACCCACTTTGACTGTCCATTCAGGGCCGTCAAATGTTCTGTGGCTTCTTATCTCATAGATGGATTACTTTTCATCATCCAAGCTTATCTTTTAGACCATATTGGCAGTCACTGTTCTAACTCTAAGGGCTGAAAAAACAGTATGCCATATCATTACAGTTATTATCCAGTTTGTCTGAAGACGAGATACAGTTAATTCTCAGTGAGCTGATTTATCTTTTGCCTTTTCAAAGTGCAGCTGGCAAATATAGGTTGATTGTCAGCTACCATGAGGAGACACTCAGCTCCTTTACAGGGAATCCTTCCTTATCTGGTCATACAGAGGTGCATATGTCTACGGGTGAGGGATGTCCTCAGATAGATGAATATACAGACCAAAGACATAGTAGGACTTTTCATGAGTGCTATGGATTTCTCTAGTTTTCCTGCAGTTCATAGTTTTCACATTTACCTGGTGCCCTGTGTGCTCTTCTTTCTCACTAGAATGTTCTTTCCATGTAGCCCATAATATGCATATTACAGTTCACAAAATAGCTTCATATTCTTCCATAACAAAGGGAGGTTAAAGTGATGCTCAACTGGTCAACTATTGTTTCCCAAAAGGCATAAAACTGAAGCCTTTTATGGTAACTGTTAGTAGCAATGGCTCTACTAAGGTATCATTATGGGATTTTTTCAAATGTGCCCATCAGTGTGATTAAATGTTCTTGATATTTCCAATTATACTTGATAATTGGACTTCTATGATATACAAGGCATTACTTTGTCAATAACTTTGGAAATTCTGAAGATTTAATTGTACTTATTTTTATTCAGGGCCCTGATCCCATTTCTAAGAAGCTTTATAAATATGGAATAATAACATTTCAAGATATGACATTTGCCTTCTTCATAAATCAAACAACTCAAAATTTAGTTTTTTTGTTTTCATTTTCAAGCACACAGAACTCTTCTATGTTTCTTTGGATGGTTTGGGTATTAAAAAATAGATGAAACAATTTCTAAAAATGTTATTTTATTTATGACTTTCTTGTGTCTAGGCAAGTTTAATCAATCTTTCTCTGGTAGTCCTGTTATTCATAATCATTCTTAATTCAGTATTTTTTAATATTCACATTTATTCTTCAGCATTGCACCATCAGAAGAATTATTACTAGCAATTTCCAATTGTATATACTCTATCACTTTCTCAGACTGTAGCAAAAAAAGGATAATTTAAATAGCTTCAAGGACAATATTACAATAATTAAT